ATCTGTAATAATTTCGAATCGGACTTTAAAGTTTTGGCCATATATTAAATATAGGTTGTCCGAAATTCCAGAGCCCTGCCGAAATTATGTAAGTTGGTCGAAATTCCTCAAAAGTTCTTTCATAGGTTCTTCAGACCCGGATTAACCTATTTGAAGCCTAATTTCAGCCAGATCTATGAAATCAGATGATTTTGCTTTGACCAGTTTGTCATGTGGGCGAAATAGCCGAAATATTTCGGCAACATGTATAATCCCAACTAACACCGCCTAAAATTTCTTTTAAACTATCTTCATCTACAGAACTTTTCTGCCAACCGGACAAAAGACCTTCCGGTTCATTTGTAATACTTTCAATATCTTTTTCAGTTATTCCAGCAGCATCACCCATAGTTATACAACCTAAATGACCAGATTTACGTCTTAATTGAGCCAAATATCTTAATGAATCGCATGTTACAAATCTACAACCTATTATAGTTAAACAAACCAAAGAAAAACTATTATTTGCTATAGATTCTATCGAATAATTTGTTATGGAATTCATGTAAGATAAATCTAATAATTGTAAATTCGGACATTGTCTTGTTAATAAAGCTATTGATTCATCAGTTATTTCAGTATCACTCCTAACACTCCTGATCACGTCATGATAATCACCATCACCATCAAAGGAAATATCATCATTAATATATGTAATAGGTAGAAGTGAAGGACTAGCGAGAGCGGAAGAATAAAGAACTTCTAAAGGAGAAGGTCTCGCTAAATTTAAACGTTCCAAATTTTCTTTACAAGAATTTGCTATAATTCTTACGGAAGAATCAGTAATTCTACCTATTCTTGCAATATCTAACCAACATAATTTAGTACAATTTTGTACCAAAATTTCAATAGATTGATCTGTTACTCTTGGACAATCGGATAATCTTATTTGTCTTAATCCGGGACAACCTTTCGCTATATATATTACACCTTTATCAGATATTTTACCACAATCAGCCACATTTAATGAAGTGAGATGATGACAAGATTTTGATAAATGTTTTAAACCAATATCAGTAATCTTTCTACAACCAGATAAATTAATTGATAATAAAGAGGAAGAACAAGAATTTTTTGAAATAGCTTCTAAAGAAGAATCAGATAAATGTTTACAACCATTGAGATTAATACACCTTAAACGAGGACAAGCCATAGCTATGGTTTGAATTAAAACATCAGTTACTTTATCTACCTTATCGTAACTTGATGAAGAAAAATCGAGTACTTTTATATAATGACCAAATTTTTCAATTGGAAAATTTTGAGGTAAAGGACAAATTTGAAGAGATTTATATAGGAAAGGGGTTACCATATAATTCCATGATTTACAAACGAATAAACAATTATAGAAATCTTTCCTATTAGGTAATTGTTCAAATATACATAATAATAATTCTATTGGTAAATGATGTATAGTGGTTTTAATCATAAGATATTTTGATTTATTCGTAACTGATATACCGGATGAGATACGTTTTGTAGATAATTTTGTTGAAGAAATTATTGAATTTTTTCTCGATTGAATTCTCATCGGATTATTTATCAATTTACGACGTTGTTCTTCAGTAAGTCTTCTAATATTACCACCATTATTATAAGAGGAATTATTATGAAACTGTTGCCTTCTTCTCTTTTTTCCATGACGAACCGATGATGAATAACCATCATTATTTAATAAAGAATTAAAAGATGCGGTCCGACCTTTATTATTGGAATTATTTGATGATTTTGACTCCGCTATTAAAAAATCTATAAAATCTAATATTGGTCTGCAGACGAAGAGTATAGGGGAACACCATAATCTTATTACGTTATAAATCAAATTAAAAATCATTTCTTTAAAGTTGTGCATTGTTGGTTTTTTTTGGAAGAGAGGTGTCGTTTTATTTTTTAAGAAAAAAAAAAGGTAATAATATTTGATAGAAATCTTTTTTGGTTTTTTTTATGTATCCAAAAAAATATTTTTTTAATGATAAAAAATGAAATAATAATAAAAAAAAATAATAAAAAGTGAAGAAGCGTGTAATATTTTTTTTCTTTCGTAGAAACTTTTTTCGAGTTTTTGAAGATTATGAATGGATGATTATACAACTTGTACAACTGCTATATCAAAAATATACAATATATATACAATTTTTAATGATTTGCAAGTTACAAACTTGATTATTTGGATCATTGGGACCATAATATAAAAAAAAAAAAAAATTTTTTTTTTAT